AGATTTCAAAGGATCATGTGAAAGATCTACAGCACTCAACAGATATCTGGCAGATGTGTGGACTAATAGGATGCACTGTGGGGATTGTTCTAATCACCGCCCCCTTAGGATCCTGATGGGATCTTGGTCCCTTTCAATTCTGGTACAAGAGCTAGAACACAAAATGGGATGTGACTCAGGAAGCAACATGGGAATATATAGGCAGTGTGTTTGTGGAAGCAATTTCCACTGGCTAAACATCTATCAGTTTCAGCTAAACTAGTAACGCAATTTCTGTCCTCCCAAAGCTTTTAACTTTCTTGGATTGCCTGTTAGTGCTTTGTTCTTGTAAATTCTATATAACAGTTCTTTCAGCTCACTCTGTCACTAGACAAAAGCCACCAGACTTCCATTAAGATGGACTGTAGTCCAAAGTGTTTATTCAGTAGTTCTTCTTTACCATTCTCAGTATCACAAAGGAAGAAGTCAGCCATCTTACCTACTAAGCTGTTTGAAGAAGTGCTTTTAAAATAGCTTGTTCAACTGGCCTGATATTTAATTGGGTTTGTAAGACATAGTAAATAGACTTTTGTATTTGGATGTGCTATTTGAAGAGTGAGTCAGTCTGACCTTTAGCCTTTCTCGAATGTGCTAGGTTCAAGAATGAGCACTAGTGTACTTGTTTAGTTGAGGGTATGGCTGTTCATGGGGTGGTATATGCACAAGCACACAATGGTTCTTTAGAATAAGATTTTTTTTTTACTTTAAGATGCTTTTTGTACTTCACCCACCTAGTTATCTCCTCTCTCCTCACTTCCCCATCCTACAGTGTACTTAGGCCTAGTATTCCTTGTCAGTCTGGGTTTGTAGGAATACCGATGCTTGCTGACCTCCACGTACAACATAAAAGCAGGCAGTGCTCCTAGAGGTGCTTCACCAAGGAAAAAATGGAGCTACTAGCTGTGAAAGCAGCCAGTGGAGCCAAGTGGCCAAGCAGCTGTGGTCTACAACAGCAATGGCGATACTGTGCTCGAGCTGGGAGACAAGGCTAGGTTATCAGCTGTCTGTGTGAGAATGTCAAAGAGCTGCACACATAGGTAGTTCCCCATCCATGTTGCTGCTCGGGTTAACGTTCTGCCTGTTTAAAATAAGGACTGTGGTCATTATTTGAGAGTTGGAATGGTAGGGGCATGGCACTGGTTAGTAAGCTACATGTAACACAGCCTAAAATATTTTTAGATGGGAAACATTTTGCTAAGCTTTAGGCAGCTGATGAGCTTTATTATGAGGAGAGATTATAACAATTCCGATCTTAAGTTACTCAGGAGACGTATTTCTGTCTGGCCACAGCTTGGTCTTGTGCCTCTCCCTTTCTCTTTCTCTCTCCCACTCTCTCTCTCTTTCTCTTATCTAAAAAGCTATAAATGTTATTGCAGTTCCTCCCTTCACTTCCCATAGGTGGTATCTCGCAACATGCCTGGAACCTTCTGAAGGAAAGATGAGCAGAGCGGGGAATTCTAACAGCCATGAGAGGAGAGTAGCTTCCAAACAGACTGCCAAGGCCAGCAGCTGGGCAGCTGGTGGAGGGAGGGCAGATTCTAGGCTGTGTATAAAGCTCTGAATGGTGTCTTGGCCATGCAGGTTGTGTTGAAAATCATGACCTGGGTCATGCTCGAATCCCTTCATTAATTGTTTGACAGCTGCAAAAACACATCAGTGTACAGTGGGAAATCCTGTCCGAAGGGCAAATGCTAGCATGTGGTCACTTCACTCAGTTGGGTTCTTTGTCTGTTTTTTGAAAGGTAGTTGTACTTCAGATATTAAAGATATTGAAAATTAAGTTTCAGGCCTGGCACAATAGCCTAGCACCTAAAGTTCTCAGCTTGCATATACCAGTATCCCATACGGGTGCCAGTTCTAATCCTGGCGGTCCCGCTTCCCCTACAGCTCCCCGCTTGTGGCCTGGGAAAGCGGTCCAGGATGGCCCAGAGCCTTGGGACCCTTCAGTCGCATGGGAAATCCAGAAGAGGCTCCTGGCTCCTGGCTTTAGATAGGCTCAGCTCTGGCTGTTGCAGCCACTTGCAGAGTGAATCAGTGGATAGAATATCTTTCTATCTGTCCTCTCCCTGCAAATCTGCCTTTCCAACAACAACAACAAAAAAAAAAAATATATATATATATATGTATTTTTTTAAAATTAAGTTACACCCTGAAACTTAAAAGACTATTTTGGAAGTACAGAATGCATTTGAGTTCTGGTGTGTGTGGTTTGGTATTATCTGTTTATCTCTGAAGCTTGATCTGACCTTACAGAAAGGAGCTTGAAAGTTTCCCATATTCTACAGAAAGTAGTAGACACCTTCTTAAGAGGTGAGCCTGGGCTAGATGTCAGGTTTGGACCCCCTTTGCTTCCCTGCCTTCAGCATCTGTCATTAGACTTATAAAGGCTGTGGACCCTGCCCCTCCTTAACTTAGAGTAGCCTGAAGAAGAATACATGCTCCCTCTGCCCCCTTGGATGTTGAATCAAGCTGAGTTTTTAAAGAAGTGCACCCAAGTTTATCTCGGGTCTGCTGTTCAAATAGTGGGACCTGTGGCCATTACTAAATGGCTCTTGGTATAAACCATACTAGATGGAAGAGTGAGAGCACAAATCTGTGTTCTCTTGATGACTGATTCATTACCTGTATTCTAAGTTTTCAGTCTCTTCTTATCAGCTGCCTGTGATGAGGTTGAACTATGAATCTGTGTGTGTATGTATCTAAAGATTTATTTATTTTTATTTGAAAGGTCATGTTAGGAGAGCCAGAGCTTCCATTTACTGGTTCACACCCCCCCTCCCCCGCCCCGGCAAGAGCTGAGCTAGTACAAAGCCAGAAGCTTTTTCTTGGTCTCCCACATGGGTGCAAGGCCATCTTCTCGTTGTTTTCCTAGGCCATTAGAAGAGGTCTAGAAGTGAAGTATCCAGGGCTAGAACAGACCAGGTGCCCATGTGGAATGTAGATGTCCCAGGCCTTCTATGCTACAGTGCTGCTGCCAGCCCTAGGCCCACCCTTCTTTCTTTTTTTCCTTTCCTTTTTTTAATATTGCTTACATTGAAAGGGGTGGAGGGTCAAGGTATGGATGAAAGTGGATGGGACAGATGATTTCATTTTTTTTCTCCTGTGAGCACAGCTGTTGAGGGCAGCAGGTGAGGGGATGCTACTCCTTGCTGTCAACACGTGGGGTTTGGGAGCAGTCATTTGATGACACCTTAGAGAACCTGATGTGGGAAAGAATGTTTCAAGAATGATATTTGAGTGGTTTTGATAGTTCTCAGATGTCTTCAGCTTCATTCCCATATCTATTGACTGACTAAGTCCACCTTTAGTGCATCCACAGGCCCAGGAACGTGCTGCAAAGCTTGTCCAGAAGAGTGATCCAACCTGTTTTGTTTTCCATCCTCTGTCTAGGCACTTGACATCATCTGCTGGTCTAGATGAGCTAGCTGTCATGTCCCCCGTGTGTATCTGGGCATGCTGTCCACCTCACAGTTAGCACCTGAGGAGGGCCGGTCTCGAAACATGTACTCCAAGGTTGAACCAGTATATTGTGATTTTTCCTGTGGCTGGGGTTTGAGTCCAGCCATTTAGTTGGGGAGTGCCCTAAGAAACCTTGTCTGGGGTGACCTCAGACTTGACTTATATGTGCCAGCTGGTGCAGGGTCAGGTTGAATCTGTCACCTATATCAGCCAGTGCACATAGTGGTGGATGTAGCTGCCTAGTCAGTTTCACTGTGGCCTCTTCTCTCACATGAACTAATGGGTCCTGTGGCCTAGCCAGGGCAACCCCCAGTAACTAGACATCTCTTCAGAATTCTTTCAAAGAGCATGAACTTTGTCAACTTTAGCCTAAGACTGTACTACAGGAAGATATTCTGGAGGGAAAAAAGCTGCCATGAAGTTATATCATTTCTTTTTTTTTTTTTTAAGATATATTTATTTTTGTTGAAAAGGCAGATCAGATTTACAGAGAGGAGAGAAAGCTCTTCCATCTGCTGGTTCACTCCCCAAGTGGTCACAAAGGCCAGAGTTGAGCCAATCCAAAACCAGGATCTAGGAGCTTCTTCTGGGTCCCCATGTGGGTGCAGGATCCAAGACTTTGGGATATTCTCTTCTGCTTTTCTGGGCCATAATCAGGGAGCTGGAAGGGAAGTGGAGCAGCCAGGACATGATCCAGCACCTGGTAGAATCCCGGCATTTACAAGGTGAGGATTTTGCCATTTAGCCAGATTCTAGTTATATCTAGTTAAGTCAACCATACTCCTCTGAAATCCTGCAGAAATAACTGGGGCAGGAGGAACTGGGAGTTGCCTTATCCTCATCCTTGATAGGCTATCTGCTGCATAACGTTGGCTTTTAAGGAAGACAGTGTAAAGCCTTTAAAAGCAGTAGAGAATGGCCCACAGTCTTGGGTCCGTGTACCTGTGTGGGAGACCCAGAGGAGGTTCCTGACTCATAGCTCCAGTCACCTTAGCTCCGGCCGTTGCCTCCACTTGGAGAGTGAATCAGCGGATGAAAGATTCTTTCTATATATCTGCTTTTTATTTTTTTAAAGATTCATTTTATTTTTATTGAAAAGTTAGATATACAGAGAGGAAGAGAGACAGACAGAAAGATCTTCCATCTGATGATTCACTCCCCAAGTGAGCGCAATGGCCTATGATATGCCAAACCGAAGCCAGGATCCAGGAACTTCCTCCAGGTCTCCCACATGGGTGCAGGGTCCCAAGACTTTTGGCTGTCCTCAACTGTTTTCCTAGGCCACAAGCAGGTAGCTAGATGGGAAGTAGAGCTGCCGGGATTAGAACCGGTGCCCATATGGAATCCCAGTGCCTTCAAGGAGAGGACTTTAGCCACTAGGCCACACTGCCAGGCCCTATATATCTGCTTTTACAGTAGAAATAAATCTGTTTAAAAAAAAAAAGTATAGCATTTCATAGGCTCATATTGTTACAAGTTTTCAACTCTTTGTCTTTCTATAGCAAATCCAGTTTGCTGATGACATGCAGGAGTTCACCAAGTTCCCTACCAAGACTGGCCGAAGGTCTCTATCTCGCTCCATCTCACAGTCCTCCACTGACAGCTACAGTTCAGGTAGGTGTGGGCTTCCCATCTTGTGGGATCACTTCTGCCCATTCCTTAGCCAGTGCTTTTGTCCTGTGTGTGAAAGCACCTCATCTCAGGGCCTCCCACGTGTGGAAAGCTATTGATCAGTGGTTGAGTAATGGTTATTCCTGTTGTCAGCTTAAGGCTTTCTTTCCCTGATCATCTCGGTGTGTGGTCTGTGAGCAATGCCCAGTCGGTAGTGCTGGGCCAATTCCCATTCCCACACTGATGCCATCCACATTTCAGAACAAGAGAATCAATGGTGTTTGGCTGACAGAACTGGCCTTGAAAAGGAAATGTACTAAGAAACTTGATTTCGTGGTTAGAAACACACCCTGCCACCTATCTTTCTTATCTGCCAAGTTGCCTGCCAAATGGCATGAGTTGTAGCAATAAATATTAATGTTTTGCCCTCTTTTGTTTACTTGGTTACTGTTTATGTTGAAGTATCCCTTTCTGCTAATCTGTGTTCTGGGAAAGATTGAAACCATGATAAACAAGGAGACCTCAGCCCTGCTTCATCTTGTTAGTTCCCCTTCCTATCTTGCTTATCTGTAAGTAACATCTTTCTGGTTTGAATTGTGCCTTTCACAGTTATAGAGGGGATGTTAGAAAATGAACATGGAAGATGATAAATAACTTTGGGAACAGAGTACAGGAGGAAACATTAGGGGCATCTAGTCCAGTGCTTACTGTTCAACTGAAAGTTATTAACTAAGAGGCTTGTCAGGGTCCCAGATTGCTATTCATGTTAGCAAAGAGATTGAAGGACTGGGCTTGAGGTATGAGGAATGTTAAAGACAGGAACACACAATGTACCTGTTCCTCTTGGTAACCAGGTATAGACCAAATAGGCAGATAAGGCAGTAATTGTATACAGTTATTGTTCAATACCAAAATCTAAAGATGTATGGATGCACTGTGAGCATCAGTGTGCAAGAAACAGCTCCAAACAGAATGGCCATCATAAACTACAAGGTGTCTTAGAGTGAAAGATGAAAGAGGTTTGGATGGTAAGCAGATTAATTGGCGCTAAGAAAGAAGGAAGGTTCATTTTGAAGGTTAAATTAGAAGAGGAAGAAAAATGTGATAAGTCAAAAAGACTGCAAAGAAGTCTTCAAAATTATAGTGGCCGTGTCACAAGGACCTGTGGGAGCATTGAAGAAAGCTTAGTGGTGCACTTCCATTCTCCCAGAAGAGAAGGCATATATGAACTTAGCAGGAGTCCGTGAGAGACTGGCAGAAACAGTGGTGATGAAAGCACTTAATTCAGAGAGGAAAGTTATTTTTGAGAGGTGAGGCACAGATGTTGTTTATCTTCTTGCATATCTCTCTGAAGGATGTTTTTAATTTTTTCTAGTAAAGATCTATTTATTTTGTATTGGAAGGGCAGATATACAGAGAGGAGGAGAGACAGGAAGATCTTCCACAGGGCTGCTGGGATATGAACCAGCGCCCATATGGGATCCCGGCGCATGCAAGGCAAGGAACTTTAGCCACTAGGCTATCATGCTGGGTCTGGATGTTTTCTATTTTTATGGGAAGCTGCTTTTTTTAAAGTTGAATGCTTAGACTTCCCCAGGGCTGGCAATAGGAGCAGAGCTGCTTGCCCTCTGTATCATGTCTTCCCTTCGCTATGTTCCATGATGTGAAATCTGTGTGTTCATCTGATCACTTTCATGTTTTCAACACTTCTCAGATGGGGTCCCTGACCCACACTACCCGCAGTGCCTGCAAATTTGTTAGAAATGCTAATTCAGGGGAAACTATAGGGCCCAAAAGTCTGGTAACAAACCTTCCAAGTGATTGTGAAAGGTGTTTAAGTTGGAAAACCAGTGATCTGTAGAAACAGCATTTCCTTTCTCCCCTGCAGATTTTGCTCTCCAGCTTTTGCCAGTTCTGGTTCCAGTTCAGATTGGGGCCAAGTTGGCACTGTTGTCTAGGCTCCATCGGGTGGTACAGGATTAGGACCAGTGGATCAGCGTGGCTCCTTAGATAGTGATGACAAAGTAGCATTAGGGTGGATAAAAGAACTGCAGCACTTATAAGATCCACCAGTTTCTTCATACTTTCTTCAGTCCCTAGAGGAACGGAAGTGAGAGTGACAGAAAAGGTAGCATCAGTTAGCCTGATTACTTTACTGGAGAGATCTGCCCCCTGTGGAGCTAGGGCCATTGAGCATTTCTAGCTTCTTTCTTTCCTGGCTCCAGCTGCATCCTACACAGACAGCTCTGACGATGAGGTTTCCCCTCGGGAGAAACAGCAGACCAACTCGAAGGGCAGCAGCAACTTCTGTGTGAAGAACATCAAGCAGGCGGAATTCGGACGCCGAGAGATTGAGATTGCAGAGCAAGGTAAAGCAGGGCCGTGGGTGTAGGAGCAGAAGCACCATCCATCTTCACCTCCCACCTTCCCAGCCACTGGTCCTCAGAATCTGCAGACAGCTGAAGGCTTGAAGCCAGCCTGAAAGCACCCAGGGAAAAGACATCCAGAAACACTCCCTCTGTGTGGAGCTTGAATATCTGGGCTCTTGTTCTTGTTCCTCCCTTCTTCCTGTTCTCTGCATGTGGTAATTACACACAGAGTAATTTGTTTCCTCCCTGGTGACAGCATATTCAGAAATCTACCCTGCGAGGTCAACAAGTCCCGGATCCCTACTGTTGTGGGGCCCAACTGTAGCTGCAGTCACTGAGACCTAGATTCCCCAGAAGCACTGGCTGCTGTTGGCAGGGATTGAAGCTGAGGATTCAGTGGCCTCGTGTGGTCCCGAGCACCCCCTGCTGGAGCAGAGGGAAAGTCACATTTAGATCTGGATTTCTCACTCCTACCCCATTCCCCATAGGATTGCTTTACTCTTTGATTATTGCCACATGGAAGGCGTATTTTATACTGAGAGGGAGTAGAGAGACCAGACAGGTGAACGGGGAGAGTAAGGTAACACAGAAAAAACCTGAGGATCGTGTCTCAGGTCTGATGGTTGTGTGCATGAGTCCGTTAGCTAGGGCCACAACCACTTTCCATTCCTCCCAGATGCATGGTGAGACTCGCTTTCTATTTTGGTCACATATGAGAGTTTGCTTCATTCTCCAGTCAGTTCTTTGCATGTAAAACTGAAGGAGTAGCGGAAGAGAGACATTCCAAGTGGCACATGACACCTGTTCACCAGCACTGCGCTGCTGAAGCTGCCTGTCATCGTGGGAGCATGCTTAGTGTTCTCTGCCTCGTCTCATCCTGTCTCAGCAGATCCAGAGCAGCCCTAGATGTTGCCGGGGCAGGAGCTGATGATGTTGGTAGAGTGCGGACCTAGCTCAAATCCTCTGTTCTTTCACAGACATGTCTGCTCTGATTTCACTCAGGAAACGTGCTCAGGGGGAGAAGCCCTTGGCTGGTGCTAAAATAGTGGGCTGTACGCACATCACGGCCCAGACAGCGGTGAGTTTCATAGAAGAGATGGCATTCAGCCTGATGGGGGAGCAAAGAAACCAATGTATTTGATTTACTTGTTTTTCCTTCCGCATCTAGCCAACCTCAGAAGGTTATTAGGTGGGACCTCCCTGTTACAGAGTAAGGGGGTTTTCTAACTGTGTAAGTAAAGTGATTTTTAGAAAACCAACTTACGGAAGATCTAGATTGGCAAAAATCTGATTATAAAAATGTTCAATAAATCTTGTTAAGGCAACTCTTCAGTACCATTATGTCACCTGACTGGGTCACCCTTCTATAACTCTGATGTGTGCCTGGTTGCTGTAACGTTTTGGATACTGCTCTCCTAACTGAGGTTTGCTCCCCACCACTGCATAGCCCTCCTCTTCCTCACTCTGTCTTCCTGCACATCTACACAGGTGTTGATTGAGACGCTCTGTGCCTTGGGGGCCCAGTGCCGCTGGTCTGCTTGCAACATCTACTCAACTCAGAACGAAGTAGCTGCGGCCCTGGCAGAGGCTGGTAAGTTTGGCCAGTTTCACCAGCTTTGCTTCAAAATAATTACCTAAACATCAATTTTATGTATCAGAATTATCTCTATATGACATTCATGCTCTAGGGTTGTAGGATTGGGAGGAAAAGAAAAACACAAACAGGAAGACACTGGATAATAAAGGCTCTATACGTGTGATGGAATGTAGTCAGTAGCAGTTGTCTTTTGAAAAGAATGAAATGATGTGAGGAAATGCCTGTTTTTGTTTTTAAGATTTATTTATTTATTTGAAAGTTAGAATTACAGAAAGGGAGAGATAGAGAGAGATTTCTATCCTGTGATTCACTCCCAGGGTGACTGCAGCAGTCAAGGCTGGGCCAGGGTGAAGCCAGGAGCCAACAGCTTCTTCCAGGTCTCCCAAAGGGGTAACAGGGATCCAAGCACTTGCACCATCATCTGTTGCTTTTTCAGGCCACTAGCAGGGAGCTGGATCAGAAGTGGAGCAACCATAAACTGGCACTCATATGGGATGCCAACATCACAGGAGGTGGCTTTATGCACTAGGTCATAACTCTGGCCCCATATGCTCAGTTCTAATGTTAAGCTATATGTGCTATTAAGTATGAGCACCACTGAGCTCCTTTCACTGTGAGAGAACACTAGTAAGAAATGCCTCACTGGGCCTGGCTCGATGGCTAAATCCTCACCTTGCAAGTGCTGGGATCCCATATACCTTTCCAGTAAAAAATAAATAAATATTTTTTAAAAATACCTTACAGCTGGCTCATTAGATTATTTGGTATTTATCATTGCATTGAAAATGAATGGATTTAAGCAAAAGCTTTTTAAGTTGATGTACATTTATTTTGAGTACCTCCAGTTGTGCTAAGATCCTCAGAAGGCAAGTTACAATACTTTTGTTTCTCTTGTTCTTTTCTGATAAGCATTTATTACAGAAAATTTAGAAAGTTCAAAAACGGGAAAAAAGAACTATAACCCACAAAGAAGATATTTGAGATTTTGTCTTTTTATCTTGCTTAACAGTGATAAAATGAATCTTGGCATATACAGTTTTTATAACCTACGTGTAAGTTTTCAGAAGCAGCCCTTGATATCACTAAAACCTTTTATTAGCATCATTTGCAGTACTTATTCCTGCATCCCTGGGATTGGACCTCGTCACTTTCCTAATGGTTGAGCATTGAGTTGCATGGAGATGTTTGCTAATATAAATAAACTCCAGGGCCGGGCGTCGTGGCCTAGCAGCTAAAGTTCTCTCCTTGAACGCACCGGGATCCCATATGGGCGCCAGTTCTAATCCCGGCAGCCCCACTTCCCATCCACTTCACTGCTTGTGGCCTGGGAAAGCAGTCGAGGACGGCCCAAAGCTTTGGGACCCTGCACCCACACGGGAGACTCAGAAGAAGTTCTTGGATCCTGGGCTTGGGCCGTCGCAGTCACTTGGGGATTGAATCATCGGACGGAAGATCTTCCTCTCTGTCTCTCCTCCTCTCTGTATATCTGACTTTGTAATAAAAATAAATAAATCTTGAATTAAATAAATAAATAAGCTCTAGTAAACAGTTTCCATTGTTCCCCACATTGTTCTGGTCTTTGTTAGGCTGCCAGGGCTGCGTTTCAGGCTCATAATTAAACGGGAGTCTCTTTATTAGCAAACACTTTGGAGTTGATACTTTTGAAAAGTCCGCAGTATACAGTTCTAAGTCTAGAACTGACTCAAAGAGACTAATATTTTAAGGTTCTACAGTATGTTTTTTTTTTAAATAAAGGCCCTTCATTTCTTCAGGTATTCTATAAGTACAGGCTTTTTGACTGTTTTGTGGTGTTTGTTTGTTGGTTTGTTTTTGTTTTCTTTTCCAAAATCTTCCTGACACCGCTTCTTTTTATCTCCCTCAGCATCTCAGAAGGTGACAGACTTGTAGGACATTCAGCAAAGGAGGGATTGGCTGATTTATTGTGTTTCTCTAGGAGTCGCAGTGTTTGCCTGGAAGGGCGAGTCAGAAGATGACTTCTGGTGGTGTATTGACCGCTGCGTGAACATGGATGGGTGGCAGGCCAACATGGTAATGACGTATATCCATCCTTCTCTTCTGACAACATATGCATTTTCTTTCTTCCCCTCAAAGCATGGTACCCTAAATGTGTTCTGAGTGTTTGCTCTTAGGCACTGATATTAAAGCATATATAACTGATACCTGTTCCAAATGGGTCTGAGTATTGAAAGGTGGGGGAAGGGTATAACTAGCTGAACATATGGCTCAATACTGCAGAACAATCTAAAAGGCAGTGATGTGGTTCCATTGAAGTAGGATTCTGATTTCTTTGCTTCCTGCCCTAGCTCTCCCTTTTGCATTCAAAGGGGCTATGTATTCCGAGACTCTAAACTGAAAAATGAGTCTTTGTTAGGCTAATAGTCTTCACTGTAGCCTAGAACAAACCTAGGAATCCTTTTAACCATTTTATACCAACAAATTGACTGTATTCCCCTGTCTAAGCCTACTCTGAGGCACTCCAAGGAGTGTTCTTGCAAACATACAGGGCGCTCTGACTAGTGCAGAAAATGGGTTCACAGTTCCCCCCAGCTCTAGCAGCCTGAATGCCCATAGAAGTCTTCTGGCTGTTCTGTAGATCCTGGATGATGGGGGAGACTTAACCCACTGGGTTTATAAGAAGTATCCAAACGTGTTTAAGAAGATCCGAGGCATTGTGGAAGAGAGCGTGACTGGTGTTCACAGGTAACAGATTCTGGAGTAGCTGCCCTTGTGTCCTTGCCTCAGCAAGTTGTTCTGGTCTTTGTTAGGCTGTCAGGGCTGTGTTTCAGGCTCACAATTAAACGGGAGTCTCTCTGTTAGCAAACACTTTGGAGTTGATACTTTTGAAAAGTCAAGGTGACCCTAGAAGAGCTTATTTCAGGTTCTAGTTTATAGCTTTCTCTCTACCATTTACTCCATTGTAGATTCTGAATGATTCTCAGCCAGTGTTTGTGGGGGGAGGTAGGGAGATTTAACGTAATTTGGAAAACTGTATTCAATATTAACATTTTATATATGAAATATGGAAAAATGCTGTTGTAAAACTATACATTATACACACTGCAAAAATATAACTGGGCCAGATATTCTTGGCTTGTCTGAATAACTAAAAGTTAACTGAAAAAGTGATTCTAAGGAATGTCATTGTACACATTTATCACACGCATACACACACACAGATTCATGTCAGAATCAATAATAATCTTTATCAGAAGTAAGCAAGGGTTTTTAAAGATTGAGAGATGCTGATCTAAGAAAATAACATTGCAATTATGGAAAAGAAATAAAGATCTTCATTGGGGAGGCTTTGTTTTTCCTTCCCATAAATGGGTGGGAGGACAAGGGAAAGACAAGAAGTGAGGAGGGATGGTAAGGAAATCATCTATTCACTGTTGTCCCCAGGCAGTAAGTAAGTCTAAGAGAGCATGAATCTTTCAGAGAATTAAATTTTTTCCCTGAGTTGTGTTGTAGCAGCTAACTTGCATTTTGTTTGTTTTTGTGGCCTCTTCTCCCCATAGGCTGTATCAGCTCTCCAAAGCTGGGAAGCTCTGTGTTCCAGCCATGAATGTCAACGATTCTGTTACCAAACAGAAGTTTGATAACTTGTACTGCTGCCGAGAATCCATTCTGGATGGGTAGGTTGACATACATGCATAGTGCAGTTAAAGGAAGTACATTGGGATTGGGCCACAGAATTGGTCTGATACCACCACAGTTGTGCCCTTGCTCCTCCCTCAGCTTTGAAAATTGGCTAGAAGGGAAAAAAAAAAAAAAAAAAAGATTTGCGAAAGAAGTCCATTCCATCTAAGTTCAGCCAGCTCCCACCTAGAAGTTCTCCTGGGCATTGCCCTGCACTTTTCACCTTGTGCAGGGGGACTGAGTTTGAGCTAATAATGTTTGAGTTGAGCCCTTGTCTGTTTCCACAGCCTGAAGAGGACCACAGATGTGATGTTTGGTGGGAAACAAGTGGTGGTGTGTGGCTATGGTGAGGTAAATAGCTGGGCCTCAGCATCTCTGTCTTTAGTTGCATTTAGTAGAAATGGGGTGAAGAAGTCTCTTATTCAGGAGTCCATTGTTCACATTTATGATGGAGGCACACATGACTTTGAGTTTTCCAAGTTTGTCTTATTCAATAAGACAGGAACTTAATGCGTTCTGCCCTGCCCCCGCCATTACAACAGCCTCATAAAAGACTTAAGTGAATGTGTAGACTTTGAGCTCTGCAAATGACATGCAGTGGGATAAAGGGTGAAAGTGGAGTATCTCCAAACCAGCTTATACAAAATTGTACTGACTTCAGCATGGACCAGTGAATGTTTGTCAGCTGCTAGGCTGTCCTTGAGTAAATGCATACATAACTCAACTGACAGACATAGAGTTTTTCAGGAACAAGAAATTACCCTTACTTGATCTTGTTTCTCTGATGAAAACTTTTGTCCCAAGCTTCAGTCCTTGCTGCTAAATTACCTCCCTGAGATTCATGGCGGCGTAATCTGGGTCTCTGCTTAGGCTTGGTGCTCCCCTGTAGAGGCCCAGTGGATTCTTGGTGGTTCCAGAAAGGTTAATTCTTATCTCCCACAGACCTTGTCCTGCCCAGTAGCCACACATTTGTGGCCCTGACATCCTTTGTTCTGTTCTGCAGGTGGGGAAGGGTTGCTGTGCCGCTCTCAAGGCCCTTGGAGCGATCGTCTACATCACGGAAATCGACCCCATCTGTGCCCTGCAGGCCTGGTAAGAGCAGAGTGGGGATAGTATTAGATTTACTCCAGGTGCTTTATGTGACTTAGAGTTTGTGATTGATTATATGAATCCTTTTTCTTCCCTACAGGAAAAGAAGGCTAAGATTGCCCTACTCCTTTTACTCTAATCCTGGGACCCTCCCAGAGCCGCTTGGCATGTCCGCTTCCTTAGGTGCTGGGTGGGATTCTTGGAGGCCAGTGGGTAGAGCTCAGTGCTGCCTGCCACTTGACACCCTGTGAGGCAGCTCTGCACCTGACTTCAGAATGGCTTTGCTGTTGTCTGTGTGGAGACTAACTTCTTTGCACTGCCTCCTAGCTCTGCTCATGGTGTTCCTCTTTTCTTTCAGCATGGATGGGTTCAGGGTGGTGAAGCTAAATGAAGTCATCCGACAAGTTGACGTTGTAATAACTTGTACAGGTAGGTTTGTTGATGTCCGTGCAAGACTTTTAACTCATGAGCTAAATCTTAAAAGGGAGCTGACTGGGGCCTATGCAGTGGCTCAACTGTCTAATCCTCTGGCTGCCAATGCTGGCATCGCATATGGGCACCAATTTGTAACCCGGTTACTCCACTTCCCTTCTAGCTCCCTACTTATGGCCTAGGAAAAGAAAGGAGGATGACACAAAGTCTTGAGACCCTGACCCATGTGGGAGATCTGGACGAAGCTCTTGGCTCCTGGCTTCAGATCAGTTCAGCTCCAGCTTTTGGAGCCATTTGGGGAGTGGACTAGTAGATGAAAGATCTTTTTCTCTGTAAATCTGCCTTTCCAATAAACAAATCTATTTTTTTAAATTGAGCTTTCATCACAGCAGAAGAGACCTGCGCTCAGTATAATGTCTCACATCAGTAAACTATCAGAACTCTAGTGGCTTTCAGAGTAGTCTTCCCTGTAGGGGGCTTTTATATTGATTGGTATTAAAGCCAGATAATCAGGATGGGTGAGACACCTATGCATCCTATACCAGAATACGTAGGTTCAGTACCCAGCTTCAGTTCCCAGTTCTAGCTACCTGAGAGAGGACAGTAATGTTCAAAGCCATTGAGGTCATGCCCAGCCCTGGCCATTGGAAACATTTAGGGAGTGAAACAGCAAATGGGAGAAGCATTCACTCCCTGCATCTCTCTTTTCCTCTACCACCATCTCCTCCCTTCCCTTCCTCCTTCTGCCTTAATTTAAAAAGAAAAATGTAGGCAAACCATTGAGCCCAAGGAGGTATTAAGCAATTCTTCCCTGGAATGCACACGTACTGTTAAATGCTAGGAAACCTTTCTTGTGTTCTGGATGGAAGCCAGTTGGTGCCTTTATTGCCCAACACCTCTCTGCTAAGCAACCCATCTTTATGTTTAGGAAATAAGAATGTGGTAACACGGGAGCACCTGGATCGCATGAAAAACAGTTGCATCGTCTGCAATATGGGCCACTCCAACACTGAAATAGATGTGGTAAGGCTTCTCGTGTTTGTTGGAAGCCTTTCTCCTCCTCCTTCGTTTATGGCCACGGTCATCTGTGCTATCTTCTTTTCAGACCAGCCTCCGCACTCCTGAGCTGACATGGGAGCGAGTGCGTTCCCAGGTAGACCATGTCATCTGGCCAGATGGCAAGCGCGTCGTCCTCCTGGCAGAGGTACACACATAGAAAGAGCAATACAAAGAGTGTGATTGAAGCTGTATTAGAGACAAGAGGCAGGGGAAAATGTTGAGCCTGTCTTCCCCAAATTCTGTTTTTGTCATTACAGATATATTTTTCAAATGGGCTGCTTCCCAAAGTAGAATCACTCAAAAGAAAATTACTTGTGGGTCAGGCCTTTGGCCCCAGGCAATTAAGATATTAAGATGCCCACATCCCATATCAAAGGCCTGGATTTGATACCCAACTTTAGCTCTTAACTCTCTATTTCCTACTAATGGGGACCCTAGGATGTGACAGGTGGTGGCTCAAGTGTCCCTGCCATCCAGTGAGTAACTTGGATTGAATTCCTGGCTCCAGGCTTTGTTCTTTCCCAGTCGTGGTCATTGCAGACATTTGGAGAATAAATGAACAGATGGAAGCATGTTTGTTTTCTTTCTATATCTCTGCCTCTCAAATAAATGAAAAAATGTTAAATATGTATGTTATATGTGTATGCACACAACATACCCTCTCTTTATGAAGTGTGTACTATTGCCTGACCACAGCTGATTCTTTGAGTTTTCAGACTCAAATCGATTGATGAAAATAGTATAAAAACTCGGGGTCCTGATGTGGAGCTATAAGTCTTTCAGTTGAGTCTGAAAGAGTGTAAATCCTTGTAATTTGACTTGTATGCTATTGGAATCTGAAACCAAAAGTTCACCCCAAGATTTTTTCTTACTTTTCCAGGGTCGTCTACTCAATTTGAGCTGCTCCACAGTTCCCACCTTTGTTCTGTCCATCACAGCTACAACACAGGTACATGACAAACGTCTGCTTATCCTACACTGTGATTTATGAAGCAGACGAGAGAGTGTGCCAGGCTGCTCTCAACCTAAACTTAGCCCATGTTACAGGTTGTTGAGACTTCAGGGTTCTTGAATAGAAAGAGTCATTAGTCAGTGTTTGTCTCTCATTGAGTTGGCTGTTTAGTTAAGAATGTAGTGCTTCAGCTTAGTTGTGTTTATTTTGTTCTTTGGTCAAGAACTAAACAAAATACCAGCAAATCTTCTTGTGATGTGTACTGGCCTTTATTAGAGTTGTAGGTGCTAATCACTGGAATACTTACCTCATGTTCTGTCAAACCTGGTTTTGTTTAATCACATCCCTTTCTAAGAAGTGTTTCTGTATTTTCCTGGCACTTTTCTCTCCTTAGGCTTTGGCGCTGATAGAACTCTATAATGCACCCGAGGGCCGATACAAACAGGATGTATACCTGCTTCCTAAGAAAATGGGTAAGTGAAAAACAAGACAAAGCTACATCAATCCCCAGACAGCTGTGTTACTTAGTGGAGTGAGCATCACCAGATACACTGGGTTCCCAGTCAGGATTCTGGTTCTTGTTGTAGTGCTTACAGATTGTCTGGCCTCAGCACAAGTCCTGATATGCGCGAACCTCAGTTGCGGGATCAGTAAAGTGAGAATAATACATTCATTGCAGAAGCACAGGAGTGAGAACAGTGCAGAACACAGTGGGTTAGAGTGGGTGTTCAGGAAGTTCATTGAACTTCTCATTGCAACCAAGTGCAGCCTGGGGCCAAAATGAAAGAAACAGAGACCACACGTAAGTTTACTTCTCCGTCTTCTGTACAATTGTGCAAAATGCCTGCTATCCCACTTTCTGCCATTCCAGAGGACACTGCTCTGTATGGTATGTCATTTCCCATCCTTTACCTTTTAACTGAAAAAAAGTTGGGGGAGAAAACCTCCTTTTCTCCAACAGGTTACCTCAGATTGGTTTTTAAAAATCATATTCATAAAAATCAGGGAAGCTTATCTTTAGAAAAGTAATAGCTGTGTGCCAGAATTCCGTAATCCTGAGATCCATGTCAGTGGATATTGTCTGAATGTTAGTGACACGAGGCTCTCCTGAGCTTACTCGTGTTCACCTTTGACGATACTTTTTTTCTAGTTAAGGAGGAAAGTGGGGGTGATATATAACTGTTGGCCACAGAGGAAAAGCCAAAGCTTTGCTGGAAAAGACTAAGGAGACATAAATGCACTTCTTTCTGTCACCTTGATAAGTGACTTTGTAAAAATACTTAGAGAAATACCCTGCCAAAAATGCAGCTTTGAGTTTGGGTTTTTTTGTTTTTATGTTTGTTTTTCTAAACTAGTGAATAGTTCAAGTTGTATATCCTTTCAGTCATTTAGTCATTATCCTCTTTCTCAGAAAGCTTCAAATAAAAATGGTGGGGTGAGGACAGGTAATACCCTGAGAAGCATGTTTGAAAAGGAGTCTGCTTCCACCACTTTGCCTTCCTAGATGAGTATGTTGCCAGCTTGCACCTGCCATCATTTGATGCCCACTTGACAGAGCTGACAGATGACCAAGCAAAATATCTGGGACTCAACAAAAACGGGCCATTCAAACCCAACTACTACAGGTAACTTGGGGGAAAGTGAGTGAAAACCCCTTTTCCCTAAAATTAATTCTAGCAGACTAGGCTGACTTTATTAAATGAAGATCAAATAGTTTCCTGAGATTTTAGAGCTTGAGGCTCACCCCTAGAGAAGCTAATCCACTTGGTCTGGAATAGGACTTAGGCAAGGTTATTAGGTAAAAGCTCTCCAGACTATTCTATCACGTGACCGTGGTGGAAAACCACAGACTTAACATTATCAGAGAGCAGGAGGTACACCCTTACTGCCCTTACCAGACAGCCTGTGGAAGACCAGGGAAGAACGATATCCTGGAGAATAACTATAGGGATCCCCTGGCTGTGCCCGAGAGGGAGCCTGCTGAAGGTGTGCGGTTCCTGATCCTGGTATTAGAGTTCTCACGGGAAAGCCTTCAATGTTAACCATCAATCTCTTTCCTTTACAGATACTAATGGACCATATTACCAACAACCTGTCCACATGAACCATACAACTTTCTGAAAGAAATATTTTTTAAGATAACTCATTTTATTCTTATTCCTTTCCTCTCGATTTTTTTTTTCTATAACTTCATCCTTTGTTTTTTCATCTCATCATCCAAGTTCTGCAGACCGCACAGGAACTTGCTTCATGGCTCTTTAGATGAAACTGGGGTTCAGGGTTCCTCACCCTAGTTACTCGAGAAAGATTTTACTCTCCCATTCTCAGAAGGGTGGTCCTTCCTTGACCACTTCTGGGGACGTCAGTCTTAATTAGGTACCTTATTAACAGGAAATACTAAGGTACTTTGTATGTGGAACAATCTGCAATGTCTAAATTGCCTTAAAAGAGCCCGTTTCTTAGCTGCTGAAATCAGTGCTCTTTCACTTCCTCAAAGGAGCAGGGATGGCACCTACCAGCCAGGTAGGTTAGATGTAGATGGTGCATGTTCATTTCCCTTTAGAAGTCCCAAGCCTCATTTCCTGTGAAAAGGCAGTATGTCTGGTTCCAAGATATGTTACTAGTGAGTGTTGCTTGTCGAGATCCAGTAAGCACACCGGGATTTATAGTGTAACCATTCCGTCACTCCTACCACTTTCTCATTTACTAGTTCTTAACTAGAGTGCATCCTGTTAAGTTAAATTTTGTCCCCTAGCATTTATTTGTGTTATATTAAAAATAATGATAATAATAAGGAAAATTCTTAGTGTTAGTACTGAGAAACTACTTGGGTGGTTAGTTGTTACCAATTTCTGTTTTGAATCTTTGGAGACAAGAGTGCAGAGTTGAGTCTAGAAAAATGCTAGTCTCAAACTTGAAGTCCCTCTGTTCCTAGCCCATAGTGCATAGCATCAGTGAACTGGAGCCATAACAGCAACTTCTCTCAGCTTTGCCCCGTACAGCTTATGCTGAAAGCAAATTTCTTGAGCCATTACTCAATATAAAGCACTGAGCTTTATCTTTAGGATTTATCCTTTTAAGAGCAAATTTCTGGTCCGTTGTGCTTCTGTAACCTAAAATTATTTTAAGGGAGGTAGGTGTGGATGAAAAAAATGATAGACTGGGTCAAGGTAAGAGAACTCTAGCTCTGTGTAATTTGGGACTGTAAACCATGTATAGTGTGAGCTTTATAGAAATGGTACCATTTTTGGTCAACTCACACGATAAAAAGTGTGGAAAACAAAGACAGTCACAGAATCTCCTGGCTCATGTTCCGGAAGAGTCTTCAGTAGCGCTCTCCAATATAAGAGAGCCGTGTTCCCGTGCCATGCGCCCTGCTTACCAGCATTTCTGCATGGTCCAGTGAGCTTTAAGTATATAGCATTATCTGGGATTTAAATCCTCAACGTGTTCTAGCTTGTGATCCTTCCAAGCTGGGTCATATATTAGTGCTAGACAGTAGAAATTTCACTTCTCTTTCCATTGATCAGAAAACCAGACATTAAAAACAGGACTATGTGAAAGAAAAGCCAGCCCTGCCACTTGACAGCAGGGGAAAGTTATCTTGCCAAAATATTTTTCCCTTCCTTTTCCCATTTCTCCCCCTCCAGTCCCTTCTCAATCCTGGCTGATGTGACCATGCTTTTCTCTCTATTGATGTGAACATTAAAATGCTTTTTCTTAGGGTACTTAACCAGCCAATCAGAATACACATTCAATAGGGAAGGTAACTTGGCCGACAGTGTAGCCATCACATCAGTTTTGCTGGAACAAGGGGGCCCAGTGCCACCTGTCCTCTGGCCTGCCCCCAGCCCCCTGTCTACTACCCTGTCCTTAGGAATAGTAGGTAAGGGCTCCATCTCCATCTCTGTCAGGCCGTGTAACAAAGAACACTGTGGAAAATGTCTGGCATCAGAGGGAGCGTGTGGAGAGCAACTTGGGAGGAACAAGTTCATTTTATATCAAATGATTTTTAATGAATGCAATATTAATCCTTGCAGATGAGCAATAATCATTAAAGTCAATTAAAATGATGAAACCTTATTGATAGTTTGTGTCGTTCTTGATTGACCAGCAAAAAAAATCATGAAATCCTGTTTTTTTGGAGGGGGACAATCATAGGTCAACAGTACTGAACAGGGATTTGTTGGGGACCTAATATGCAGAGACTGGATTCAGTTATTGAGAAAAGTAGCCCTATCTGCCAACTATGTACCAAACAGTGGGCCTCAGTACTGTCTCTCTTAACTTTCTTCAAGAAGTAGAGTTGGCAGTCCAGCAGATAGCCTAGTGGCTAAATCCTCACCTTACATGCACCTAGATCCCATATGGGCACTGGTTCATATCCTGGCTGCTCCACTTCCCTTCCAGCTCCTTGCTTGTGACCTGGGTAATTATTTGGGGATGGCCAAAACCTTGGGACCCTGCACTCACATGGGAGACATGGAAGAAGCTCTTGGCTCCTGGCTTTGGATCAGCTCAGCTCTGGCCATTGAGGCCACTTGGGGAGTGAACCAGCAGATGGAAATCGTTCTATTTCTCCTTCTCTCTGTATATGTGACTTTTCAATAAAAAATATCTCTTTTTTTTTTTTAAGAAGACTTGCTAATGAAGTTTCCGGGATCACATCTACCCGGGCCATCAGTAGGGAGCTGGATGAGACATGAACCAGCACCCATATGGATCCATCTCTGAAGTTGTTTCTACACCTTCTGACACAGCAGTGTATCCACTTTAGCCCATTCCTGCTATTACAACCAAAATGCCCAAGACAGTATTCTGTAAAGAACTGAGATGTATTTCTCAGCAGTCAGGGATCTGGGAAGTACAAGCTTAAGACCTGGAAGAAGCTTCTGGCTCTAAGCTTTGAACTGGCCCGTCTCTCCCTCTTTTCTGTAATTCTAACTTCCAAGTAAAATGGATAAATATATTTTCAAAAATATTGAATTGATTTTAATTGGAAAGGTAAAACAGATTTATAAAGATAATTTTTTTTAAGATTTATTTATTTTTATTGCAAAGTCAGGTGTACAGAGAGGAGAGACAGAAATATCTTCCGTCTGATGATTTATCCCCAAGTGACTGCAACAGCCAGTGCTACGCCAATCCAAAGCCAGGAGCCAGAACCTTCTTCCAGGTCTCAAACACGGGTGCAGGGTCCCAAAGCTTTGGGCCGTTCTTAACTGCTTTCCCAGGCCACAAGCAGGGAGCTGGATGGGAAGCAGGGCTGCTGGGATTAGAACAGGTGCCCATATGGGATCCCAGAGTGTTGAAGGTGAGGACTTCAGCCACTAGGCCACTGTGCCAGGCCCAACAGAAAGATCTTCTATCCACTGGTTCACTCCCCAGATGGTCACAACAGCCACAGCTGAGCCAGTCCGAAGCCAGGAGCTGCTTCTGGCTTTCCCATGTAGATGCAGGGTGCAAAGGCTTTGGGCCATCCTCCACTGCCTTCCCAAGCCACAAATCAGCACCTATATGAGATTCCAGCACTTACAAGGTGAGGATTTAGCTATTGAGCTGTCACACTGGACCCAAACAAATCTTAAACAAAAAAGGCAAAGAGACCAAGATCCTCTGTCGATTGACCAAATGCCTTTCATAAGTATTGATGCATACCTCAGTGTATCACACCTCTGCCTGCAATGCAAGTGGTGCTTCTCAGAGTGCCCATTAAAGTCCTGGCTGTCCCATTTCTAATTTGGTGCCCAGCTAATGTGCCTGGGAAAGTAACAGTAGATGATCCTCATTCCTAGGCCCCTGCTGAGGTAACCATTTGGGAAGAGAACCAGCTGGATGGAAGATCTCTATCCTCTGTTGAAGACTCTCAAATAAATCTTTAAAAATAAATAAATGCAACAGTTCAGGCTGGAGCAGGCCAAAGCCAGCAGCAGAGAGCATTCCATGCAAGTCTCTCATGTAGGTAGCAGGGACACAAGTATGGAAGCCGTCATTGTAGCCACCCAGAGTGCATGTCAGCAAGGAGCTGAAGAGAGTAGAGCCAGTGCACTGCTTGCCTACCACATTCGTAGAGAACATCCAACCCACTCACAAGGATTCTCCCCCTCATGACTTCCTCACCCCAAAGGCCCTACCTCCTAATAACTTCCTTATGTTAGTGATTTCAGTTTCATCTGATTCGTTTCAGGGAAGATTTCAGATCATAGCATTCTGCCACCTGACTCCCAAACTTAATGTCCTTGCATACCAAATATGTATTTTCATCCAGTAACCCCAAATCTTGTCTTTTGAGAGACTTCTCCCTTCTAATGGCTCACTCAGCAAATGCCCACAGTGACTGTCACAGGGTCAGGGTCAAAGCCGGGAGCTGGGAACACAGGGTGACAGGAACCCAACTACCCATCACTGTTGTCTTAGGGGTCTGCATTAGTCTGGAGGTGGGGCTCAAGCTCAGCTACACTGATGGGGCATGTGGGTGTCAATCTAAACTAAAATTTGTATCTTTTTTATCCCCCTGATTCTTTTTTAAAGATTCATTTATATATTTGAAAGGCAGAATTAGAGACAGATTTTCAAATCTCATGGCATACTCCCCAAATTGGCCACAACAGCCAGGGCTGAGCCAGAGAAGCCAGGAATCTGGAATTTCCATGTGGGTAGCAGGGGTCCAAGTATGCAAACCATTTTCTGCTACCTTCCCAGGGACGTTAGTAGGGAGTTGGATCCAAAGAGGAGCAGCTGGACTTGAGCCTGTTCTCATGGGTTAATAGCATTTTAGGCAGCAGCTTCAGCACTGGTCACAACCATCCCCAGATTCTTAATTCTTTCCAGCATCAGCTCAGGAGTTGAAAGTCCAGGGTCTCTTAAATCACTGCGTGCAAATACACAAGGTCCATCCTGAGACACACACCTGTGAAGCTGTCTCAAGTTAGCTGCTTCCAGAGTGCAACAATGGAATAGACATGGGCTACACAATCCCATTCCGAAACAGAAAGAACAGTAACAGCTCCCAAACAATTCAAAAAGTCAGCAAGACAAACTTTCTTAATATTCAGGTTCTGGAATAATCTTTGACCTTATTTTGCCTTCCAGGTACACTAGATTAGGATTTTGTCCCCAGATGCTGTGCTAAATTCCTTCTTACACGTTGGAGTCTTTAAATTTATAAAAATGTAGAAGAGAGAGTAGAAGAGATACTTTGTCCAATAGTTCAGTCCTCAGATGGCCACAATGACTGGGGCTGAGCCAGGCCAAAGGCAGGAGCTTCTTCCCAATCATCTATGTGGGTGTAAGAGCCCAAGAATTTGGGCCATCTTCTGCCATTTTCCCAGGTACATTGACAGGAAGCTGGACGAGAAGTGGAGCAAGGGTTGGCAGCATAGCATAATAGATTAAGTCTCTGCCTATGGTGCCTACTTGGGATCCCAGTGCTTGCAAAGTGAAGATTTAGCTATTGAGCCATCGCACCAGGTCTGATGAGTTTGTCTTGAGAAGGAACCTCAGGCACCAAACCAGACAGTGCGGTTTCAGATAGTGCACATAAGTTGATGGCAGCCTCATGATGTAGAAAGCCAAACCCTCAAATTGTGATGTTAAATTGCCCTGAGGCAAACATGGACTCCATGTGATATATGCAGTAACTCAGGACATGCACACCTGCTCCATTAGGAAAATGTTTGATCCTTTGTATACTGTCCCCAAAATAACCCCTGGGAGCAAGCCCTAGAAACAACTTGACTTTGTAGGCATCCTGGAGTTTGATTATGAAGCAACCTTACTTTTTGGCTTGCCCAACCAAAATATATTCCTGCCTGCTTAACTGCTACAGCTCACGCCTGCTTTTGTCCACTGGCCTATTGTTAGAGCCCTTTGGTTTTTCTGTCTAATTGCAGTCGCAATGTTTGCTTCTTTGTAATTGCTTTCCACACACTAACAAACATGGTCTCTGCAATTAACCCCTTGAAATAGGGATGACTGCTACCCCTGTTTTTACACTGCTTGATCCAGCCTATTCGAATACCTGGTAACTTGGTGGAATTGGAATGGATCTGGGCAGGATCATCTCCAGGATTCATGCTTGGCAGTAGATGATATTGCCTCCAGAAAACAGCCCCAAACCAGGGACCTGGTGATGCCTAGAGTATGTTATATGCCAGTCACCAGTGGTATTCATTAGAAATACTAATTTCTGGGCTCTATTCCATACCTACTAAAACTCTCAGGGCCACGAGGAAATGGATTCAGGAAGTCAAGTCTGCCTCCAGTGTTAGAGTGCATTCTATGGGCAGCTAGAGTTCAGCTGTCTTATTCTCCTTTTCCTCTTACCTGAGTTGCCCTAAGATTGCTCAAGAAGGAGGAGGAAGCTGCCCCTGGTTCTCATATCTCAGCAAAGATCCCCAGAACAGAAGAAATTTGATGGAGGCATGAAGACCCAACTGAACCCTTGTGCTCTTGATTTCAGTATTGTTAAATTTACAAGTTATTGGGCCTGGTACAATGACCTAGCAGCTAAAGTCCTCACCTTCAACACCCTGGGATCCCATATGGGCACCAGTTCTTAATCCCGGTAGCTCCACTTCCCATCCAGCTCCCTGCTTGTGGCCTGGGAAAGCAGTGGAGGATGGCCCAAAGCCTTGGGACCCTGCACCCACACAGGAGACCTGGAGAAAGTTCTTGGTTCCTGGCTTCGGATCGGCGCAGCACCAAAGGTTGCGGCCACTTGGGGAGTGAATCATCGGATGGAAGATCTTCCTCTCTGTCTCTCCTCTCTGCATATATCTGACTTTGCAATAAAAGTAAATAAATCTTGAAAAAATTTACAAGTTCTCTTATGATGGGCCATATCTTTGGAATAGCAAGTTAAGCTTTTCACTTGCAACACTAGCATCCCATAGGGACACCTCTTCAAGACCCCCACTGCTCCACTTTCTGACCCAACTCCCTGATAATGCACCTGGGAAAGTAGAAGATGGCCCAAGTGCTTGCACCCCTTTTCCCTTGTGAGAGACCTAGAAGAAGCTCCTGGCTGCTGCTTCTAACTGGCTCAACTCAAGGCATTGCAGTCATTTGGGGAGTGAAGCAGC